AACGAAAGCACAGTAGCCAGTTTCACTACGCATGTGTAGAGCTTGCCGATGGCATCCTTTGGTTCTAGTGCTACAAAATGGCAGACTTCTGGGTCATCAGATCACCCCCAACATTACTTCCTGTTTCCTATGCATACGCGAGGCAGGAAGTTACCTGATGACCCAGACAGATATCAGCCATTTTAAGTGCAAGACTCAGCTGTGCATGGGAAGTGAGCATGTGGTGGATGCATTAATGTCAAATACATTATTGTAAGGATTTCAGAACAGTTTTCAGACCGGAACCCAGAACACAACCTGTGAACAGCCCCATTAGGCCTCGCACAGAGCTAATCCCACTTATTCTCTGCTTCCCGTTGCTAAATTAATTTCCAAACCAAATAGTTAATTTTAGCATTACCCTTCTTCTAAAGTCCCTCACAGCGACTTTATCAAAAGCTCAAATTCTAGTTAATTACATCTTTTGGGTAACTTTCATCCAACAATCTAGATACTTTGAGAATAACTCATGCATTGTGTTCCTGGATCTACAACAACAAAAATATCAAATTGCATTTATACAGGGCCTTTAACTTCAAGAGGATGTCCCGAGGAGCTGGACAATGAGGGTTTTCATCCATGCTGCGGGATACGATCAGAGAGGATTGGAGAGGGAAGATGACTGAAGGCACGGTCGAAAAGGAAGGTCTAAATGGGTTTTCAAATGAATGCAGAGAATGGGGCCATCTCTCCCAATTTATGTTATTAGGATTCACTTCACTGGCCATTTCTCTGGCAGAAGGTGATGAAATGGGACACAACCAGGAAAAGGTTGCATGGAAAGCCAGAGCTGAGTTAGTTGACTAGTATACGGAAAGCGACACCATTTCACTCAGAAAATACAGTCAATTCACTTTACAGTATATGCTGTGAAGCACTTTGAGATGTCTCAATGACGTGATAAGGCCCTATATCACATGCAAGGATTATTGTTATTATTATAACCTTACACCAAGGACTAGGAAATGCCGTTAAACATTAATACTATGTCTTACATTTTTATAGCACTTATAAAATCAACACATCTAAAACCTTTTCACAGGTAATTGTTGTGAAGTGAAAGTGGTGAGTTTACGACTGGGACTATGTTACGCAGCAGACAATTTGTAAATAGCAGGCCTCACAAAGATCCCATGATGCTATCAGAAAAGAGAAGGGAGTTTGGCAGCCAACAATGTCCCACAGGAACTGCTGGACATAAAAAGACCAAGTCCACCTAGTGCGCCTGGTAGTCACATGCTGCAATAACGGAGATGTTGACGGCAATTAATTATGTATGGATCAATCAACAGCAGACGGAAAGCTTTGGAAAGCCCCAGATGTGGGACCTTGCCATACACTGTTTGTCTACAAAAACAGTTACCATAGTTAACAGCAATTTTACTGCAAAGCACTTTAAGACATTCTGACGTGACAGAGCTATAAAAATAAATACATTTCTTCTTTCTCGGGAGGTGATGAAGAAGCCAGGCACCAGGTCAGACACAACATTCTGACAGCCCTAATAATGAAGCGATCTTTCCTGTTTCCTGTTTGTTTTGGAGAGGGCGGGCGGGGGCGGGGGAGGTGACCAGGCACACAGCCAGGCCAGGCTGCCCGCACAAACCCTTTTCAGAGTGGTCACGTCAGCCACGAAGTTGCCATGGAACTTTGTAATCTTTTAAATCTGACTACAAGGCAGGAGTCAGTGCCTTTTTATACCCACATCGCTGCCTCTCCCTGGTCTCTCTGCAGATGAGATGATAATGTGCTCGGAGAGATGAACCAAGTGGTGGAAATAAACAAGATATTATGCTTCAAATACAACTGGCAACTGGTAGTGTTGTTATAGCTGGAATTATTTTGGGGATTTGATGCTCAATAACTTCATAACAACCTTTAGTGCTCTTAGCTGGGGTTTCCGTCTCATAGAGGGTTCTATTTACATGGCTGTTTCTGTTTCTCTCCATAATAATAATCCTTGCATTTGATATAGCGCCTCATCACACCTTACAGAATATACTGCAACGTGAATTGATTGTATATTTTGTGGGCGAAACACGGCAGCCAATTGTGCACAGCGACGTCCCACACACAGTCGTGGATTTGAGTGACCCAATTTTTTTTTAAGGGATTATTACCTCCGGAAAAGCGATCCACCAATCGACTAACATCCGCGCTCTTACCTACTGCTTGGTAAACAGAGGCGTGTGGAGTAAGGTCCTCTCGCTTGCGAGGCAAGTGCTCTAACCAATACACTACAGGGACTCCACAAAGAGAATCGATGTGGCCCCTTTCACGTCGTTGAGACATCTCAAAGCGCATCGCAGCATATACCATACAGTGAATTGACTGTGTATTTTTGTGAGACAAACGCGAGTTTGAATAAGCTGCAGTAGTTGCCGTGCACAGCGACCCTGCTCTCTGGCCCTGACTGTGCAAACTTGCCTCACTGTTTAGATAATAAAGAAGCTGAATAAGCACTACTGTAATTAACAGCTAAACTGTCAGCCGCACGGCCGCTGCCCTGCTTCACTCTCAGTCTCCTTTTACTTCCACACGAATGCACACATTCTGGCATATAAGTAATAATAATAATCCTTGCATTTGATATAGCGCTTTTCACGTCGGGAGGACGTCCCAAAGCGCTTCACAGAACACACTGTAAAGTGAATTAACTGTATATTTGTGGGCGAACGCGGCAGCCAATTGCGCACAGCAATGTCCCACAAACAGTCGTAGATTGAAAATGACCAAATTATTATTGTTTTGTTTTGGAGGGTTATTATTAGGCTCTGTGTGGAGTAAGGAAACTTGCCCAAGGTTTCGCCCTCTGCCTGGAATTGAACTCAGGTCTCTCACTGGCAAAGCAAGTGCGCGTGTCTGTGCACGTGTGTGCATGTGTGTAAGTAGCTCTTACACACATGCACACACGTGCACAGACACGCGCGCGCACAGACAAACCTGCACAGACACGCACGCGCACACAGACACACATGTAGAGACACGCGCCCATCCGCACACATGTAGAGAAATGCGCCCGCACGCACACACACACACACATAGAGACACACGCGCACACGTTGAGACATGCACGCGCGCACACACACACACACATGAAGAGACACGCGCACACACACGTAGAGACATGCACACACAGACACACATGCAGAGACACGTGCACGCACACAGACACATGTAGAGACACCGCATGCGCAGGCACACATGTGCAGACACGCATGTAGAGGCACACATGTGCAGACACGCATGTAGAGACACCGCATGCGCAGGCGCATGTAGCTGCACGCGCATGCGCAGACACATGTAGCTGCACGCGCGTGAGCAGACAGGCATGTAGACGCACGCGCGTGCGCAGACAGGCATGTAGACGCACGCGCGTGCGCAGACAGGCATGTAGACGCACGCGCGTGCGCAGACACGCATGTAGAGACACGCGCGTGCGCAGACACGCATGTAGAGACACGCATGTAGAGACACGCGCGTGCGCAGACACGCATGTAGAGACACGCACTCGCAGACACGTATAGAGGCACAGACATGCATATAGAGACAGGCACGCATACAGGCACACTCACGCACAGACACACCTGCACATAGAAACACACATATAGACAAATACACGCATAGACACACGCACACATAGACACACATATAGACATACGTACACACATATTTTATCACGTTAGGCATACACATTGACACTCACACACATATACTGATGGGCACATGTAATCGTGCATAGCCACATACATGAGCACACACACTCAGTTATACAGACACAAATGGATACATAGATAAGACAACCAATAGGCACATACACCGATAGGCACACATACATGCAGATGCAGATAGATATTTAAGACATACACAGATGGATACACAAACACATGCATAGGTAGACAGGCGTGCGCACACACACTAACAGACAGATACAGACACACACATGCATAGATAAACACATGTGTGCCTCCCACGCACACACACGCCAAAAAAGCTCAGAGGAGAGACAGAAAACTGCTGTAATCTCAGACAGACAGTGATCCCAATGAGGAGTCACTAACATCAAAAACACACAGTACAGTATAGTACAGCGCAGTACAGTGCAGTATAGGACAGCACAGAACAGTGCAGTACAGCACAGTATGGGACAGCACAGCACAGTATGGGACAGCACAGCACAGTATGGGACAGTACAGCACAGTATGGGACAGTACAGCACAGTATGGGACAGTACAGCACAGTATGGGACAGTACAGCACAGTATGGGACAGTACAGCACAGTATGGGACAGCACAGCACAGTATGGGACAGTACAGCACAGTATGGGACAGTACAGCACAGTATGGGACAGTACAGCACAGTATGGGACAGTACAGCACAGTATGGGACAGTACAGCACAGTATGGGACAGTACAGCACAGTATGGGACAGTACAGCACAGTATGGGACAGTACAGCACAGTATGGGACAGCACAGCACAGTGTTGTACAGTACAGAGGCGACACTCACTCACCTGCATCTCTCCCTGTGTTTGCATTACACTGAAAACTCCCAATGAAGTTGGAGCCAACAGTGTGTCAGTCACTGCTTCACTCACAGTTGGAGCTGCTCAACAATCACTGGTTTTGTTCAATTCCGAAAGGTTTCCAATAAAAAAAGAGATGAAAGGAACTTACCAGAGGGAGGGGGGCAAACCCAGGTCTGTGTGCTGCTGTCTCAGATCAGTGCATCAACTTCAGCTACACAAACACACACCAAGTCAGTGTAGTGACTGTCACAGTGATCAGTGACAGCCCAGAGCTTCTCTCTGCTCACTCCCCAGCTCCCTGCAGATGTCCCTGACTCCCATCAGCTCATTGCACACAACACACACACATAGCCAAGCTGGGAGCTCAGTGAATGTCTTGTGATTCGACATGATCTTAAGAGAAGGAAAACACCCAAAAAAGGGCAAAACTTACCGGGAAAGAGTAGAAACCAACTCCAGGGGCTCCTCCCTGCCTTCTCAGTAGAAAGCTCAGGGAAGCCACACACACACACACTTTAGCTGCTCTCTCTCTCTCTCTCTCTCTGTGGCTGCAGAATGAAAGGTCTGTTTAGTATTAAAGCTGCTGAAACAGGAAAGAGTTGTGGGAGCTGGAGTTGCTCAGCCCAATTATCTCAACTTCCACCCAGTACACAGCCCACAATCCTGCTATACTGTGCTGTAGTGGCTGTAAATACTGTACTGGCTGCTGCCAGGCAGGAAAACATAGGCAGAGAAAGGAGCGGATAATAATAATCCTTGCATTTGATAGAGTGCCTTGTACCGTGAAGTCCCTCCGCCTTTCCCCCTCCCTTGCCTCCTTTAAGGCTCGTCTCAAGGCTTTCCTTTTCAACCGTGCCTCTGGTCACCCTCCTTCCCTCTCCAACCCCCACAACCACCCCCTCCAACCCTCTCCGATCCCAACCCCAAGCTCAGATGCAAACCCCTCATTTGTCCAGCGCCTTGGGATATCCTCTCAATGTGAAAAGCACTGTACAAATGCAATGTTTTGTTGGTGTTGTTATCACTGCAAGACCCTCTAGTATGACACCCATTTCCGCTGCTTAAAAATCCCACACATGTGCTGCTGAACACACTTAGCTCAAATCCGGCCTCACCGTCCATTGCCAGGACTGGCTGGACCACACTGAGCCCAACCATTGCTCTCTCACCTCAGCAAAATCTGATTTATACACTTTGAAGTGCGGTGATAAGGGAAGTTCAGGATGTTATAGAGATTGTTGAAGATAATCACAGGTGGCTTTGTGCTGGCAGACATGGGGCTGGTGGGGGTAAAATGGAATTTGCAATTACCCCAAGATGAAGAGGTGTTCGGAATAGTATCTCGGGGAGGATGGAGGTGTCCGGATCGGAGAAATGTGCCAGGAGGTTGGAGTAGGGAGCGGATGGGGGAAATGATGATGATTCTGAGGTAGAGAATGACAGAGGAGAAACGTAATAGAAGAGTAAGGAGACGGGCTCATTTGGGACTATAATTCTCCCCCTCGTTGTCCATCATCAACAAAGTGCTCGGAGATGCTACCCTGTGTGAGGGGCACTATATAAATGCAAGTTGTTGTTGCCCTGGAGGCACCTTCTCTGTCCAGCTCAGGTGTCAGACCATAATAATAATACTTGGATTTGATACAGTACCTTATCACATCTTCAAGTCGTCTCAAAGTGCTTCACAGAATAGACTGAAAAGTGAATTGACTGTATATTTTATGGGCGAAACGCGGCAGCCAATTGCGCACAGCAGCGTCCCACAAACAGTCACATTTCAAACAGTTTGTTTCACTGAACAGAAACGTAGATCAGAGAGAAATGCATTTCTTTGCTTGACCCCACCAACAGAGGGTTGACTCATTTCAATCTCCAATTGCCACATACGTCACCTGGAGTCGTCTTAACCACAAAAAGTCCCTAATTACCAAGGAAGAGAGTCTCAAGTTGGGTGTAATAATAATAATCCTTGTATTTGATATAGCGCTTTTCACGTCGGGAGGACGTCCCAAAGCGCTTCACAGAACACACTGTAAAGTGAATTGACTGTGTATTTATGGGCGAACGCGGCAGCCAATTGCGCACAACAATGTCTCACAAACAGTCGTAGATTGAAAATGACCGATTTATTATTGTTTTTGGTTTTGGAGGGATTATTATTAGGCTCTGTGTGGAGTAAGGAAACTTGGCCCGAGGTTTCGCCCTCTGCCTGGAATTGAACTCAGGTCTCTCACTTGCAAAGCGAGTGCTCTAACCACTGAGCTACAGGACTCCACTAGTGTAGTTAGGGGGAGGGAGGCTGTACCAGAGCACAGGATCTCTCGACCTAGCACCTCTTCCCCAGCTGGTCTCCAGCAACCCTTCCTTACTGTACTTTCTCACAGACTAACACCGATTTAGATTTTCCAGCACCTTTTGCCTGTTCAGGTGGACGTTAAATATCCTGTGGCGCTATTCGAAAAGAGAAAGGAGTTTCTCTCTCCCACTGACTTGGCCAATAATCCGCCAAATAAATTTGATCAGTCACTCCACAGCTGTTTGTGGGACACTGCTGTGTGTAATTGGTTGCTGCGTCTCACCCCACAAAATACCCAGGCACTCCACAGAATCATAGAATTATACAGCACAGAAGGAGGCCATTCGGCCCATCGTATCTGTGACGGCTCTTTGAAAAGAGCTTCCAAATCAATCCAACTCCCCCTCTCTCTCCCCATAGCTCTGCAAACTTGTCCTCCCCAAATAATTATCTACTTCGCTCTTAAAAGTTGTTATCGAATCGGCTTCCACCAGCCTTTCAGGCAATGCATTGCAGATCCCAACAACTCGCTGTGTGAAAACATTTCTCCTCACCTCCACTCTGTTTCTTTTAACAACTATTTTAAATCGGTGTCTTCGGGTTACCGACCCACCTGCATAGTTTCTCCTTGTTCACCCTATTGAATCCTCTCATAATTTTGAAAACTTCTATAAACTCTCCTCTTAACCTTCCCCGTTCGAAGGAGAATAATCCTCGCTTCTCTAGTCTCTCCTGATAACTGAAGTTCCTCATTCCTGGTACCATCCTGGTGAATCTCCTTTGCACCCTCTCCAAAGCCTTGACATCCTTCCTAAACTGAACTTCCTGCTCCACATCCCTCGACCCACCCGCCCCACCATTGGTGGGAGAGCCTTCAGCCACTCTGCCTCCAACCTCTGGAATTCCATCCCCCAATCACTCGGCCTCGCTCCCTTCAAGTCCCGCCTCAAGACCCTCCTCTTCGACTATGCCATCGGTCACCCCCCATCCCCTCCCTTCCCCCCACCCCACCCCGACCTCAGCGCGAGTCTGAAATGCTGTACACTGTCCAGCGTCTTGGGACGTCCTCCCGACCTGAAAGGCGCTATACAAATGTAATCTTGTTATTGCTGTTGTTGTTATTGGTGCCCAGAACTGAACACAGTCTCGAGCTGAGGCCTAAACAATGTTTTATATAAAGGTTCACCATAACCTCCTGACTTGTGTACTCTGTGCCCCTATTTATAAAGCCCAGTATCCCGGATGCTTTTTTAAGAGCTTTATCTCCCTGTCCTACCAACTTCAAAGATTTCCTTATATGACCCCCAGGTCTCTCTGTCCCTTCACCCCCTTTAGGATTGTCCCATCAGCTTATATTGCCTCTCCTCATTCTTCCTCACAAAATGCATCACTTCGCATTTCTCTACATTAAACTTCATCTGCCACGTGTCTGCCCACATTACCAGTCTGTCTATGTCCATTTGCAGTCTGTTACTATCCTCCTCACTGTTCACTACTTTTCCAGCTTAGTATCATCTGCAAACTGGGAAATTGTACTCCCTGTACCCAAGTCCAGGTCATTTATATAGATCACAAACAGCAGTGGTCCCAATACTGATCCCTGGGGGACACCACTGCACACTTCCCTCCAGTCAGAAAAACAACCGTTCACCACACTCTCTGCTCTCTGTCTCTCAGACAGTTCTGTATCCGCTGCCACTGTCCCTTTAATATCGGGGCTTCTATTTTGCTACAAGTCTCTTATGTGGCACTTTATCAAACGTCTTTTGAAAATCCATATAAACTGCATCAACTGCACTACCTTCATCCACCCTCTCCGTTACTCCATCAAAAACCTCTATCAGGTTTGTTAGACATGATTTGCCTTTAACAAATCCGTGTTGGCTATCCTTATTGACCCATATTTTTCTAAGTGAAAATTTATTTTGTCCCGGATTATAGTCTCTAGAAGTTTCTCCACTACTGACGTTAGGCTGTCTGGCCTGTAGTTCCCAGGTTTATCCTTCTGCCCTTTTTGTATAGGGGAGTATCATTTGCAACCCTCCAGTCCAATGGCACCACCCTGGTGTCCAAGGAGGATTGAAAGATTGTGGCCAGAGCCTCCACTATTTACACCCTTACTTCCCTCAGGGAACCCTAACCCTAGGATGCATCCCATCCGGACCGGGTGACTTATCTACCTTGAGCACCGACAACCTTTTCATTACCTCCTTTCAGTTTATTCTTAACTTATCCAATTTCTCTACCCTCTCCTCCGATACTGTGGCATTGGCTGCATCCTCTTCTTTTGTGAAGACAAATCAAAGTACTCATTCAGTCTGTCAGCCACGCCCTCTGCCTCCACAAGAAGATTTCCTCTTTGGTCCCTAATTGGACCCACTATCTTTGACTAACCCTTTATTCTTTATATGTTTATAAAATACCTTAGGGTTCCCTTTTATATTATCCGCTAATCTTTTCTCCTACAATCTCTTTGTCCCTCTTATTTCCTTTTTTAGTTCTCCTCTGTACTTTCTATATTCTATTTGATTATCTTCTGTATTTTGGACCTGACATTTATCATAAGCCTCCTTTTTCTGTTTTATGTTTAAGCCGAGCCCTCAGCTCCCCTCTCGACTCTCTTCCCCCTTCTCGCTCCCTCCCATCCCTCCCCTCACCCTGACCATTTCCCCCCTCCTCGCTCCCTCCCCTCCCCTGACCATTTCCCCCCTGCTCGGGTCATGACCCAACTGTGCAGCGCCTTGGGACGTCCTCCTGACATGAAAGGCGCTTTATAAATGGAATCTTCTTGTTGTTGTTGTTGTTTATTTTAATCCCAATTTCCTTCATCATTCAGGGAGGTTTGGATGCCCTACCTTTCCCCTTTGTGGAATGTATTTGTTCTGTCCCCGAACTATCACCATCTTGAAGGATTCCCATTGCTTGTTAACTGTTTTACCTGCCCTTCTCTCTAGTCCATCTTGGCTAGGTCCCTTTTTAACTCACTGAAATTAGCACTCTTTCAGTTGAATATCTTCACCTTTGATTGTTTCTTGTCCCTTTCCATAAGTACTTTCCATAAGAAACCTGCTCCACTTGCCCCACTTCATTCCCCAGAACTAGATCCAGCACTGCTTCCTTCCTCGTTGGGCTGGAAACCTACTGATCCAGAAAGTTATCCTGTACACATTTTGGAATCCTTTCCCCTCCTTGCCCTCTACATTGTTATTTTACCAGTCTATCTTAGGATAATTGAAGTCCCCCATTATCACGACTCTATTGGTTTTGCATCTTTCTGAAATCTGCTACAGATTTGCTCATCTATCTCCTTCCCACTATTTGATGGTCTGTAGTATACACTAACAGATTGACAGCT